TGCTTATCTGGGAAGTGTATCTTCAGGTTTTATTGTAATCTGGAAAATAATGTGCAAGATTCATATTACCCTGTCACATCGAAAACACAAAGCAAAAGGATAATTTATGTTAAATAGGAAAGACATATCTTTTAATTTGAGTATACTCTGGTTAAGAAAAATCTCTTTTAACATGTATGACAATTATGTATTTTTTCTTCCCAGATTTTGAAATAATGTTGTCTATTTATATCTTGGTTAGGAAAGTGCAGTTGATACAGCTAAATAATATGAAAGGACCTAGGTTATTTGGTGGTCTTCAGTGAAATTTTAATGGACACAGACAACAAAGTGGTTAGAGCCAGAGGGAGGGGAGGGCGAGGCCTGGCTGGAGAGGGACAAAGTAGGGGCAAGCGGTGGGGAACATCTATAATAATGTCAACAATACAAAAATGTTAATGGTGACACCCTTTTAAAAATGAAGTCTCACAAAATAATGATGAGGCTTCAGCAGCAATTACATTTTTCATTATTTTTAAATGAATAACCCATTCTGTTTGTGAATCCAATGAAACACCTCCCCAGACTGCAGACTGGTTTCTGTTGATCAAGGAAATAATTTAAACACTTCTTTTTGTAAAGTATATTTGGAAATTTACAGACTTAAATTTAAAAAAAAAAGTTTAATTTTGAACTTGTAATGCATGTATTTAGAACAATTCTCTATTTTCCTTGCCTACTGAAGTTCATTGCTGGAAGGAAAATAAGAGAAAAATTAAGTAAATGTGTGAAAATAAAACCTATAATAATTGTAAAATATGTTTGCTATACTAAAAAATATTTTACATTTTCAAATTATAGATCTAGAGAGACAGGCTAGCATTTTAACGTTTAAAATAGCCACTGAGTTTGGGTTACATAGTGACAAACATGAAAAAGCCATTTTTTATACTTGACAGTTTTATGGATATGAATTTCATTATTGATTTTATGGTGTATAAAGACAAATTAGTTTATAATCAAAATTAACATAAAACCCAACTTTTTCTGACTCTTTCCATTTCTAGCATTTGTTAACATCACATTTGCTCTAGGTTTTCAACAAATACGTTCTTCCTAACCACTTCTGAAATCCTGAGGTTAAGAGGAATAAAGAAAGATATAATTAGGTTTTTCTTTCCCTTAAATCCAACTTGTATGGTTGAATGTTTGTGACTTATTACAAAGTCTTTGACTTAAAAGTCTTTCTCACAATCACAAGCTAATTGGGTAGAAACAATCTACCTCACCTTTTCAACAAACAGGGTGGAGCAAAGGTCAAGGATCTTTTACATTAAAACCTAGTAGACTGTAACAGTCCTACCAAAGAGAAACCTCATTGACTATCACAATTTCTTTTTTGGTGAATCTAAGTGCTTCTTTTATCAGATTCCAAATGAGAGTGTATATATTTCTCTGTTTGATGTGCTGGGCAAGATCTGGTAAGAACTTGATAATTTGTATTATCTTTAAAACTTGTGTATAAAATAATCAGTATGGTCTGTATTGTGGGATATAGACTGCAGACATGATATGAAAAATATACTATGATTATGGATACAAATGATATCAAACAGATTACTATGAAGAATATATATAGTGTGTTTTGGTAAAATAGATATTTTGTTTTTCCTTTCCAGGTAATAGTAACTAGAAAACCTTTTACAAAAAGACATAAATAGAGAACAAATAGAAATGTTCAAGAGAAATTAGAATAATTAAATTTTTATGTAGGTATATTGTCAACTGCCAAACAAACAAAGTAAATATACTACAATTTTCCTTTTTTAAAAAAAATTTATCCTATTATGCTAAAGTAAAACTAAAACTGATCTGTGGTAATAAAACAGAACTTTCTTCTCCTGGTATACTAGTTTATGGTAATAAAGTTTACTATTTTTAATAATATCACATTACTTTATGGCAATAAAGTAGAACTACTTGTTCCACTTTATGATAATAAGAAAAGTAAATTTAAAATTCATGATGAATAGTTTTTTGTTGGGATTTTACGAAAGCAGATTTTTTTCCCTTTGTTTTGATTTCTTTAAAATTCTTCACTGCATACTTGAATCTCCTTAAAAATATATCCTAAAAATTCAAGTTATTTTTTGTTTCTCTTCCATTAGATATTTCAGCTAATCAGAAATTTTAGAAATGGTTGCTTTTTATATTCTGTGGGGAGGAGGAAACTTTCCTCTACCCTTAAGGTTCTTTCAGCTGATCTGATAATGACATAGGCATGAGACAGAGTAACAAGAGAACATAGCCAAATTTAATACATGCATATGCATGGGAACCTTCCTTGCATACATGAGAGATTCAAAGAGCAAAAGAGAAAGCAGTATATATGACATTCTAAGCTAAGGATGAGGTAAGGCACCTTGGGCTTCGGAGGGAGGAAAGCCATTTACAGGATGATAAGAGCAGGTGTTTAGCAATTGGAAGATAGATTAAAAAAATATCTCTAGATAATCTCTTATTATGGGTAAGGCCCCTAATTAGAATTTCTCTAGATAGTTAAGGGAAGAGGGCAGAAGTTTCCATTAAGCCTATAGCATCTTGATTGTGTTTAGCTCAAGCAATCTGAATACCACAGAATGACATCTGAATCACTCGTCTACACTTCCAAAATTCAAATACAGGACTTAAATGGTACTAATATAGAGTTTATCATCAAATTGGAAGTTTCTTGATAGTATTTTATGTTTCTGTAATATATAATAGTAGCACCTTTACTTGAAAGTTAGAGAAATATGAAGTCTTAGGCTCCTAAGCTTGTATCATATCAAGATTTATACCATTTTAATATCACAGTTTTTACACCAAATTTATATGGTTGACTTTCTGAGATTATTATTATTTTTGTTACTCGCTAAGCAGTTGCCTATATTTTCAATTGGAAAAACTCAGATATAATTACTAAGCGTGTTTCTGACTATTGACTAAAATAGAATAGTAGACCTTTTAGTTATTAGTAGGAAATAGGAAATAAGGAAATTAAAGATTTCAGTGATTCCCAAAATCACTCTTAACCTATGCAAACTCTTATGCTTCCTCGCATTTTCTTTTTCTTGTTATTGTTGACATTATTACAGATGTCCCCCATTTTCCCCCCTTCACCCTGCCTTCACCACACTGTTGTCTGTGTGTTGGGCATTGCACTACACATATATGTTCTTTGGCAAATCCCTTCACCTTCTTTTATCCAGTCTGCCTTTAAAAAAGGAAAAATATTTTAAAAAACAGATTAGTCAAATGTGTTTTTTTTTAAATTTCATTTATTTAATAGAATAAAAGGGGAGTGAAGTGGTAACTAAACAAACTGTATATAAATATGTATGAATATACATCAAAATTGTATGCATATGTATATATATTCTTAGTATAGTTTCTGATTTATACATATTTTAGGCCTTGAGGGCCAGTCTCTTGCATCTATTCAACTCTGCCATCGTAGTATGAAAACAGTCATAGACAATTTGTAAAGAAATGAGTGTGGCTGGGATCTGAAAAATTTGTATAGATGCTGAAATTTGAATTTATTATAATTTTACTTGCTATAAAATATTATTTTAATTACCTGAAAATGTAAACACCATTCTTAGCTTGCCAGCCAAATTTGGCCCACAGGCCTACTTAGCCAACTCTTGTGTTTCAGTAAGTTGGAAGAGATGTTAAAAATAGATTAATTCATTCTCATTTCACTGTTGAAGAAAGTGAAATTCAGAAAAATAGAGTCATTTTTCTAAGCTGGTAGAACTTACAATATGTGATATTGGACATCTAGAATCATATTTAAAATACAAACTCTCATCTATTGGTGGGAGGTGCAACCCAAGATTTTGGAATTCTAATACAAGGTATGGAAACCACACTTTTAGTAGTGGTAAGAGTTTAGAAATTTGTAGAACCTTATTTCCTAGGCTGTTTGTAGAGCAATGATCTTTTAAAAACTTGTGGAATTCTGAGCCCATTGTCTCAACAAATTCTTCATTGTTTTTCTCTAAAATGCATAAAAATATTTTTGATATGACTAGTAATTTATTTCAGTTGATTTACTTGAATCAGATGCCACAAATAACATTAATTTATTAATTTTTAAAATTCATTAATTTACTCTACCAAATTTCTGGAAAACTTGGAAAATGTGAAAGAACATGGGATTGAAGTAGTGGTGGCTTGTTATCCCAGGCCAAATCATTTAACCTCCCTGAACCTCAGTTTTCTTACTTGTAAATGGCAGTAAAATTATAGTACTCTTTTTTCTGTCCTGTGAAGCTCCAAGGAGATAACATAAATATGTGATTTGGTCAATTATAAAGCAGTATAAATTAGGTTAGAATAACCCACTATGTTTTCTTCCATGTCCACGTTCTCTGTTATTTTCTCAATATTCAGGTGTAAGGCGTTGCCATTGTGGCCTGTGGACCACCTGTATCAGGATCTCCTGGATTATGCATTTAAAAATGCAGATGTAGCTTTTAATCTAGAAACTCTGGGGATGGCCCCAGGAAGCTACATTTTCAATGACTTTCCCAGTCACTTTACACTCATTTTTAAACCCATATTTAGGAATTCCTGCTCTAAAGACTTACTTTAATTTGCTTGCATAGTCAGCTTCATTTTCAACAGCTTTCCAAACATGTTGCCCAGCTGAATTAGTTACTGATTGAATATCTCGATTTCTTAGGACATGTTAAATAATTATATATATTCTAAATGCACTTTGATTGCTTCAGAACTAGAAAAGTATATTTTTACATCATCTGATTTTGTGTTCTGCCACTAGCTTTCCGAGATTTTAAAGTTCTACCTACAGTTTTGCACCTTAACAGGCTTTATGGCCATACAAACATCTGCCTTTGTAGCATCAAGTCAGTCAATTGCTTGTACCTGGAATTCTGCTGGCCCCAAAAGATTTTCATTTTTACTACACATGAATAAACAGCTAAACTAGTGGACTTCTGATAGTCTCATTTATGTTGTTCAACTGTTTACATAATGACATGTGCCATAAATATGTCCATGCTTTTCAGATCTCACCCAGAGATGTCCTCTTGCTTTTAATTATGTGACCTTGGACAGGTTGTTTAAGCTCATAAAACCTCACTTGCTTTATATATAAAATGAGGGAAAGGATAGCAAACAAAAAGCAATGCAGTGCCTAACATGGAATGATTGCTAATGATTATATACCATTATTATTGTTGATTGATTGGTACAGCTGTTAGCAAATACATTTTGTTTTCAGAAATGAGGAAAGAGAAGGAAGGAGGTTTTCATGTGGCTTTTGAGAAGAGTGTGGGGTTTGAGAAGATTAACAGAGGAAGAAGGGTTAAATCTTTCCAGAATGTGTTAAGATTGGTAGCTTTTTAAAAATTTATTAATTTATTTTTTAAATTTTATTTTCTTGTTTAAAGTATTACAAATAGTAGCACATTGTCTCTTTTTTTCCCCATTGACCTTCCCCTGGCCTCCCCAGTGTCTTGTGCCCATTGGTTATGCTTATATGCATGCATACCAGTCCTTTGGCTGATCTCTTACCCCACCCCACCAACACTCCCCAGCCTTCCCGCTGTAATTTGACAGTCTGTTCGATGCTGCTCTGCCTCTGTATCTATCTTTTTGTTCATTAGGTTATAATGTTCTTTATTATCCATAAATGAGTGAGATCATGTGGTATTTTTCTTTCATTGACTGGCTTATTTCACTTAGCATAATGCTCTTTCAGATTCAACTTTCACAAATTCAATATAGTCACATTTTCAATGTATAAGAATGGCTACTGAATCCTGGAAATAATTTGTTGCTGCCATATAATTTTGTGTTGTAGTCTTTTATTACAATGACTGAATCAGAGATTTGGACAAAGTCAAACTGTTGTTTATTTCATTACACATAAAATATATACTTCATATTTTCAGTGATTTTTCTATATATTAATGATAATGCATTTACTATAGCCTGCAATTATTTTGGTTACTTATTTAAATACAAAACTTATAGGAAAAATTATACTCTTCCAAGATATCTTTCCCTTTATCCTCAAACACTAAAAGAATGGTGTTTTGAAGATATGGCTAAATATATATATTTCTATTTTCTGTCTTCTTTGGGAAGAAAGCAAATTTCAAAATAAGTAAAAACTTGAGTGAGGGCACTGAGGTTGCAAATTCTCTACATGGAGAATTCTTTTCAGCTCAGGTATTTCAGGGGGGAAAATGCTTGAGAAAAATCTTTCTATCTTTACCCCAAGGTAGTAAAGTTAACAACCACAGTCATCTAATCTAATAGCTTCTCTTATTCCTTTCATAGGTTCATCTCACAGGTGGATTGGTTTTCCTCATTTTCATTCTTTTTAGTTTCTTTCTTAGCCTTTGATTCCCTATTGATATCTTTTGAAAAGTGCACAATTGCAATTTTAGCATTAAATTTCTCTATAATACTGCTTGTCTCTTTTCCTCTTATTGATTCAAAGCTACATACCAAGTCAAAGGAGCAAAGTTAGTTTAATTCTTTCCTTGGCTACTTTCCTTATTCATCAAGCAGCAGGAATTAAAAAAAATACAACACTTCAATCCTTTTTGATATAATTAGATGAGCAGTTCTTAAGAAGACCTGCTTATTATTGATTCCTTTCAACTTTTCATCCTTTTCTCCTTCTTAATGCATCCCCCCAAGTTAGCCACAGCAGAAGTGGGACATCTGCTCAGAAAAACATTTAGATTACTAATGATTCTTTTTAACATCTGTTACATTGCTACTGAACAGTTGTTGTTTCTTTAAGGAGGCTCAAGGGACAAGACCTATGTCACATTAATAGTGGGTACTTTTTGGAAGTAGTAAGTCTTATGCCTTTGGGAGCTATCTAAAAGTGCTATTGTGTACATACATAACTGAACATGTCCGGTCTTACATTTCTTCTTTTTCCAGTGCAGTATTTCTGATTAGAGTAATTTGAGTCTGGTTGTTGCAATACTTAATAGGTTTTTTGTTGTGTGTGTGTTTTTATTTCACTGCTCATTACAGTTGCACTTTTAAAGAGAAACTGTATTAAGCACAAAATGTATCTCATATCTACTATTGAATTGGATGTGAGCTTTTTATCAAAAAAACATTCAAATGGGCTTTGATCCCAGCAACTCAATCTGTATGATAATTCACAACAAGGAAATGACTTGAGAATATGAGCTGGGACCAGATTTTTTACTTTGTTTTCAGCAAATGCATGTGTATTTATTCACAAATACTTTGCATAAGAATAAATAAAAAAATAATTGCTTTTAAATGTTTCTTCTCAGGGTATCCTGGAAATATTCTCTTGTCCTCATGCTACAAAATAATAAACTAATAATAATAATGATAATAATAATAAATCTTTCTCACAAATTCAGACCACAGAGGCCAGAAATTACTGGTGTGGCAAGATGAAAAAAATGGTGAAAAATCTAAAAGAAATTTTCAGAAGTCAGGCTCTGGCATACAAATATCCAATATCTGAAACAGAACTTAAAATAAGTATAAGATAATTGTGTATTGCTAATTTATTTTCCATTCAATTTGAGATTAAGCCAAGTCTAGTATCTAAGAAAATTAGTTGTCATTTGATTTTCATTTATTAGTTGATCTATTTTATTTTTTCAATGTCCTGTAGTTTTCCAAGTACAGGTCTTTTACATCCTTGGTTAAGTTTATTCCTAAGTATCTTAATTTTTTTAGTGCATTGGTAAATGGGATTTTTTTTTCATTTCTCTCTCTGTGCGTTCATTATTGGTGTATAAAAAGGCCATAGATTTCTGGGCATTAATTTTGTATCCTGGTACACTGCCAAATTCATTTATTAGGTCTAGTAGTTTTTTGATGGAGTCTTTGGGGTTTTCTATGTATAGTATCATGTCACCTGCAAATAAAGATAGTTTTACTTCTTTTCCAATTTGAATATATTTTATTCATTCTTCTTGTCAAATCACTATGGCTAGTACTAGAAGTACTATGTTGAACAGGAGTGGTGAAAGTGGGCATCCATGTCTTGTTCCTGTTCTTAGGGAAAATGGTTTTAGTTTTTGCCCATTGAGTATGATGTTGGCTGT